CAGCTAAGATAGCACGTGTGACAATTATGTTCATGATGTCCATGGTGCTTTAAAAATATCCATGGAGTTGATGAACAATCAATAAACGTATTATCGGCTAATCCTTTGAACCAAGTATGTTGTTTTTACATCGGCACTTCACGCCATGATATGAGTGTATTCCGTCTGCTTTAGTAAACCTACACATGTAAACACTTACAAATCCACTGTGCAAGATAACAGTGATTAATCAATGAACGTATTTTCTGTGGAACTTTTGATGGCGAGGAATGATCCGTGTACTAAAAAGTAAATGAACTGATCACTCCTCTTGCTGGGCTGCCACGTGAATATTACATAACATACATTTCACCTCAATTCAAACCTGGATTCAGATGAAATAATTACCCCAGACACAAGACATGCCAAATGGGAACCGTTGTCAGGTAATCTGAGTAGTGCTACTACTAACTATACCTGTAATAGATTCATTAACTGAGCTTCTAGTGAATGGCAACAAAGACACAGGTGTAGGGTTATGCCCCAAAACGTGGATGACAACGTATTATCCGCGCAATCCAAAACCCGAAAATGCTTTCACAGCTGGGATACTATAAAAATAAACTGACGGCCAAAAGAAACGTTACCAACGATATTTCTAGGATAAAATATGACCAAAACAAATTGAAGCAGCGATAACAATTATTGTATTGTAGAAATACATCATTCAGAACAGTAAAATGCGAATTTACTAATTCAACAACAAAGTTCTTGACCTCCAACAGGGACATTTCTTGACTAGGGGTCATTCGTCCAGTATTCGATCAACAACATTGGTTACAACTTTAAGGTGACGACGGCCCAGACCGTTCAATACGGGATATGACCTCAATGAGCGGCAATGCATCTTCGAATGCGGCGTTGCACTGAGTAGACAAGCGTCCTCACATCGACTGCAGGTTTCAGATTCCATTCCTCACGGAGGGCAACGATCAACGCTTGTCTCGTGATGGGAGGATGTTGACGTTTCCGAAGACGACGCCCCAGCTGGTCCCAGAGATGTTCTGTGGGTGACAGATCTGGTGATCGAGCTGTCCACGGCAGGACAGTCACGTTGTTGGCGTTGAGGAAGTCTCTAGTAATACGGGCTTTATGGGGTGTGGCGTTATCTTGTTGGAACACCGTCCGTTGTTGACGCTGGATGAAAGGAAGAACCACTGGCCGTAAGATATTGTCAGTGTAGCGTTGTGCTGTCAGATTGCCTTCGATGATGACAAGTTCCGTCTTCTCGTCCCCGCAAATGCCGCCCCAGACCATCACACTTCCGCCCCCGTAAGGTTCCACCTCCTGGACACAACAGGGAGCCGTACGTTCACCACGTCGTCGATACACTCGCGTCCGCCCATCAGGTTTGAAGAGTTGGAACCTGCTCTCGTCACTAAACAGCACTCGCCGCCATTCCCTTTGTTGCCATCGCTGAGTTGTCTGCACCACGTCAATCTGGCACGTCGATGTTGACGGGTCAAGGTCATGCCCTTGAAAGGGCGATAAGCCCGGAGACCATAATGTCGTAGTCGTCTGGTCACTGTTTGTCTGCTGACCGGATGTCCTAAGCAGTTGGCATCTGATAACGTCACAGTAAGAAATCTGTTCCTCAGATGACGTACCCGTAAAAAGCGGTCATCCTGCGGGGTCGTGACCTTTGGTCTGCCACTCCGTGGTCTGTCTGCGGTTCTGCCAGTCTGTCGGAGACGTGCGACCAGTCTGGTAATGGTCATCTTGGAGCAGTTCATGTTTATGGCAACCGCTCTCTGTGTCGCTCCCATCTGCAGCATACCTATGGCTCTCTCTTGGCATGTTCGTTGGTGTTTATCATCGCAACCATTGATAGGGAACAGATCCCTGCGTAATTCAACCCGGAAATTGCACGATAATTTGGGGAAGATTGTTTTAAAAAATTGCTGAAAAACACCAATATTTCCCAAAATCCGCAAAGCACGTGCAAAGAACGACAGAGAACATGAAGGCTGTATTCGTGAAATGTGTTCTTTACTGTTTTTGAACAGGTTGGCATCTTTGTTTCAAAGTGGCAAATCAGTTAATGTTGGTAACGTTTCTTTTGGCCCTCAGTTTATAACCATCTGGGGTATTTCCAAATAACGACATCCGATGAGCTTCCATCGTTCTTTTTGTCCGTTTGTTTAGGCTGAAGAAATTAATTAACATGCGCCCTTTGTCTGAGATTCAGAGATTACAGGTAACCAACCAATGTTCTTGAACACAGTAGTCCAGTCTCTTGTCACGCTCAGTTGCGTCAGTGAGCAAATCGGCAGATGGTGAGCCCCAGCTGGCAGTGTTAGACAGCCGAGAAGAAGATTAGTGCCCCTTTAAACCGACAAGCCGGGGTATAACTAAAATATACACACTGTTCAAAGCAGTGTTAAGCCAAACTCACTCACTTATTCAGAGTCATGCCGGTCCCCAAGGCTGGATATTGGGGGTACTTTTCCAGTATAAGCATGCCTGTCATTTGAATGTTAAGGCCGCAATAAAATTAATAGTTACAGTTTGATTGATTTTTTAAAAACATGGGAGACAGGAGGCATTTTAGTTTTAACCTTTTTATTTTGTTCTTATCGACCTACTTTAGGCATATGTGTACAATTGCTGTCGGCGGATGCGATTCGCATGCATCATGTGTGCTCAGTAGGGCTACGTGTACGGAGTATTTTATCAGGTAAAGAAAGTAGGAACACTCATATTAACGATACTTCTATTTCTAGGAATTTGAGGGCATTAGAATAATGTAAGGCAGGATGTTTTGTTGTCAGGCGGCAGCGGATGAAAATCAATTAATTAAAGTAGCGAATATGGTATCGTATAAAAAAACAAAAAAACAACATCGGACAATATCATTTTATCCGAATGCTACAAATTGGTCTGTGAGAATTTTATTTTAATGAATATTCTAGCCGTGTATAAAATTGCCTCATTGAGAAACTCACAGGCTTGTGATTATTTCTGTAACTGACAGTGTAGCCGCGAATAACTGCAATACTGCTGATGCGGCTTTAAGCAATATTACTCACTCACTGACGGTAATAGTTTTGTTTCCAGCTTTCGGACACATTTATGTTTTCACCATCATTTGACATTCATAGACACAATTTCTTTTGTTAAATTATATTGAGCATGTTTAGGGTTTTATTATAAAGTACATAGGAAACTGTAACAACGGGAGATGACTCAGACTTTGTGTATGTAAATTACATAGCATTTTCAAGCTCAAGTCATAAGTTTGCTAAATGCTACTTGGAGAATGAAGAGCATGAAAGAAGCATGACCAAAGGACTACTAACGTGCGCATGCGCTTGGCCTCATGATATTACACATGCGCACGGACAGCGTCTAAAACGCGAGAACACGAGAACGCGAGATCGCGAGAAAATGAAATGTCGCATTCTCGCGTTCTCGCGATTTCGTGTTTTTGTGGCCTAATTTGACAAGTCGAGATTGCGAGATTACGAGATTTTGCATCATGTCCAAATGTCGCATTCTCGCGTTGTCGACTTTTGACAAAAAGTGCTATGTACCAAAAACACGAGAATGCGAGATCGCGAGAACGCGAGATTTTGGCCAAATCTCGCGTTCTCGCGATCTCGCATTCTCGTGTTTTGGGTATATTTACCTCGTTTCCAAAGGTCGAGATCGCGAGAATGCGAGATCGCGAGAATGTCCCTTACAGTATTCCATACTTTACCCCTAAAAACTGCTCACATGCTTATAGATGGACAGGTTCAATTTCTTTGTAAATAACTAGCCCCGAATTTCATCTCCATATAATAAAATTGGAGCAACTTTTGCATAAAATGTCTTAAAATACACACCATAATCCTATGGTTTCACGTTTCTCAGGGACTTTAAGACAGAGAACAAAACCTTTTTTGCCTGTAGCGACACATTTGACACATGTTTGCGCATTTTTTTTTTTTTTTAAATATGACCATCATTACAAGGGACAGTCACCGTAATACCATTTTTATATATTTTGACAAATCTGTTGTTGTATCACTAATTACACCTATTGAATGCCTCGGACAATAACTCGTAAAAACGTTACTACGCTTTTTGACACCAAACACAGAGTCAGCAATAAGGGATGTGTGGTCCGCAAACAACAACAGAAAACGCCCTATCAGCTCTGGGGGGAATTTGGATTCCTTGAGAACAACCAGATTCGATCTCCTTTGCTAAATCATTTATGGACATTATAAATAAAATGGGACTCAAGATGCATCCCTGCCGAACTCCATGGTAACATTCGAAACTCTCTGAAAAGTGATGGTCATATTTAATACGAGAATATACACATTTATAGATAGATTTAACGGCATTACACATCTTTGGAGAAATCCCATTATCTTACTCTATTTCTTGTTCGAATCACACTTTCAAAACATTGGTTTTGGTAAAGTGTCCTTTCCTCGTCAGTGTATTATCTTGTTTACGCCGCACACAGCAATATACAAACTTTATGGCGGGGGCCTGTAATAAACCAGTGGTTGATATTGTGAACAACGATCCAGTGGTCGATATTGTGATCAACGATCCGCGCGGTCCAAGTACTATGTCACGCCATCAACCAAGTCCCCGAGCCTGACCACCCGATCCCTTAGGACCCCACTCACGCCCAGCGTAGGTTCCTGGGGATCTATTCTGACCCGTTATAGCCACGGGGGCACATTTGAGAGTGAGTCCTCTACATATGTATACTGGGGCGGTAGGTTAGCCTAGTGGTTAAAGCGTTAGCTCCTCACGCCGAAAACCCGGGTTCGATTCCCCACATGGGTACAATGTGTGAAGTCCATTTCTGGTGTCCCCCGCCGTGATGAAGCTGGAATATTGCTAAAAGCGGCGTAAAACCATACTCACTCACTCAGATATGCATATTGGATGAACTCTACTAAACAAAAACATCTTCCCTGCACACTAAGACATCGCCTGTTACCTATTCAGCAGCATCGCCACCTTGTGCCACGTCTCCGTCATGCAACTTTGACCACGACATGTGTGGCTTTACCTCAACGACAGTGTCCGGAGCGGGGTTTCTGATGTGGAGAAGGGACAAACAGTTTATTGGAATACAAACAATGGAACATGGTTTGTAGAAACTATAGAGTGTTATGTTTTTATGCTATACCTCCACAGAGGACATAACAGTGACGTTATACTACTACTAATAATAACGAAGATGATGAACACAGTATCTTAGGCGACATGATGGAGTGGCTCGATCATTTTATTACCACCCCGGAATATGTAGAGGGCGTCATGGAAAATGCCAAATATAAAATTCTTTGAAATAGGCCCTTATACCACCTAAGCCGTATCTAGGCCAACAAACCTGATCTTGTCCTTTTGATGAAATCATTTATATTTTGAATTTTCTGTCCCTTTTGACATCAATGTGATTGACAAGATTCAGGAAAACATGGCAAAAATGCGGACCTCGCTTTCGAAATGTCACGCTTGCATCCCAAGTACCAAGTTGTCCGACTCCCCATTGTTCTCGGTGCCTTAGGTTTGGTACCTCCCAATCTGTTGACTGACATTGGGAGAGTACCCGGGTTTGCTACCAGGAATACAGCCCTTCTGACAATCCGGGTAATGCAGAAGGCTGCAGTGTTGGGGAGTCTTCACATTCTCCGAAAGGTTCCTGGTGGGTTTGAAAAGGCAGCGCTTCCTGGGAGAAGTCCGATTCGCTGTCTGGGCTGCGTGTAGAGGGGCCAAGGGCCCAGAGCTGATGGTGAGCCTAACCAGCCTGACTGTGCCAGGATCACCCAAACCCTTTTTGCTGCATTTTTTTATTTTAATCTGATAATAATAATAATCATCATCATCATCATCATCATCATCAAAATCATCATCATCATCATCATAATCATGATAACAAAAATACAGCCCCTGACTATCCACGTGGATAGCTGTTCCGCGGCGCTACACAATATTATTATCCCTGTCAACGGATCAGCGCGCACTTGGATTTTCTGGCAGTTTAGGGCAGGACCGAATCTCTAGTCACACTCAGGAGTCAAGGTGCTCAACACAGTCACCCATCCACCTACTCTCCGCGACCAACGATGCTTAACTGCCCCCGATTGTGACATATATGCAGACTGATCTACTGTCAATACATTTCAATTCATCATGTCATGATTGCAATAATTGATGGTAAGTTCTAATAGCAGCAGTTGTCAATATCACGCGAGACCATGGATAGATATATATCGTAAAACGAAAAAACATTGTATATCTTCACCCCTGGTAAGTACTCAACTATTCATGATCTGTAATATATTTTTTCTATGAGAAATTTTGGTATCGATAAAAAAATCATGTCAATAACAAATATTAGTCCATTATCAGGGCAACCTTCCTTAACTATTGAGAGTGTGTCTGAGTTTGATTAACGCCTACTGACGTCAGTATACCGTAAACTACGGTCATAACGAACTCAAAGGGACCACTGATTTTAGTTCGTTATAACCGTAGTTCGTTTTGAGCATATATACAGCAAATGGACGGGATCAAACACAGTTCGTTATATCCATCATTTCGTTATAGGTGTTCGTTATATACATTAGTTCGTTATAAGCGTGTTCGATATAAACGTACTTTACTGTATGTGGGTGTTAAACCCGGTGAGGTTAAAATGTTTGAAGCAGGAAGGACTCCGTACAAGTACATAGTGCTCCCATTATGAAGGTACCGAATCAGAGAAAGATCGACATTGGGCTAGAGCACACACCTCATCCGTCTTGATCCGTCCCACAGGGAAAATGTGTCTTAATTTGGCGCGACTAATTCGTTTATTAACGTTCTATTCAAATCCGAACGAGTTATGTTGTCTACTTTCATCATCTTCATGGTTTAAGGAAGATAAATTTTTTTGGTTATTTTTTAATAACATAAGTGTGTCTCTGTGTGTCTCATACTTATTTACAAAACAGTTGTTATTCGAGAAGAATGACAGACTTCAAGCCAACATGAAGGCAGTTAAAAATATTTATGCATCTGTTGATAGGGTACTTGTTCATCTCACAACTACCAACATACTGACAAAGGACGGGGACGGGACTGATTTGGTGAGTCCCCCGCTCTGCTACACTGGAACAACCTGTCTGTCGTTTGATTACTTGCTGCCGGGACAAACCACTCTGGACATCTTGGTCCAGACGGGGGGACAGACATCTAAAGTCATCGCATTGCCTTCAACACAAAGATGGACAGCCACGAACGTCTCTCTGCACGGAACAGCTAATTCTAGGGTGTGTACGCACAGACGGTTGTGGAAAGGAATTTTCAAACATAATCAATTTTAAAAGAAGCCATGCGACAGTGCTCGAATGTCCAGGCATGATTTCATAACTTTACCCAGCAGTACCATAGCTGTAGAGAAAATGAATCTTCCTAAATATAATCTTTGATATTTTTGCGTCCACTGTTTGCCAACTGTTATGACGTCTCATAGCTAAAATGGATAGAATTATCATTAAACCGTTATCATGTTATCAGAAATGAGCGGGCCACTGTAACCTGATAATGCCCTCATATTGCTTGACGACGGGCCATTATCACGTGTTAGGGGACGTCATAGGATAGGGATAGGTGACGTCACGTTCAATAGTGACGTCATCTGGTTTGTTCTATGACGTTTACATATTTGTAAAGGTAGGTCAGTGACATTCGTGTTGATTGCAGTAAATGTTTCAAAACCAATATTGTTGTTTCTTTTTATCTAATTCCATCCATTTTAGCTATAATAACCGTAACGCCCGAGGTCTTCTTCCATTAACTGCCCAACAAAGGAGGGCAGTTGAAAAGGCCGAGGGCTTCTGCAAATGCTAATGCCCTGAAACATTTTGCGGATTCTGCATCGGCCTAAAATTAATATCTTAAATGAGTATTGTCTGAAATGAGGAGTAAAAATAAATACGGCTAAGACCAAAATAATAGTCTTTAAAAATGGGGGGTAGGATATCAAGATGTGAGAAATGGTTTCCCAATGGCAAGAGTGTTCACATATATTACAAATATTTAGGTATTGTATTTTTGTGTAGGTGAGACATGTCATTAAAAAAGTTATATTGATGTGTAAAAAATCTTCCAACCGATCCTGGCATATACATCAGAACTGCGGGGCATCAAAAAACAATTTGGCAATTGAAAAAGTTCACCCAAAATTCTACAAATTTCTATTGCACACATGTTACAAAGCTACAAATAAATTTGTAGTGGCAGAATGTGGTCGCTTCCCACTGTTCATATATGCGCACATTAGAGTTCTTTCAAATTGGATAAGGCTTATCAGACAACTATTAACACGATACTCCAGAAACTATCATGGCTTACTCAAAAGACTAGAGAATGCTGATAACGTAAACTGGATTTCTTCTGTAAAAATACTGTTATTTAAATACGGTTTGCGGCGTGTGCGACTCGCACAAGATGTAGGGGACAGAAGAGAGTTTCTGAATATCTTTAAACTAAGGTGTAAAGATATTTATCATCCAAAACTGGCTCCCACAGGAGATATCGCTTGGATAAGATCAATGAAATTACATCACAATGCTTTGCAGACCATTGTGACGTCACTGTTACCATGACGTCACAATCAAATGACATCACTCATGGCTCTGCTACTGAAGCTGTTAGCAGTACTTTTTACACTGAAGACACTGCTAATTATTGTCTACAAATTTAAAAAGTTCGAAGAATGATGTTGGATGATAAATAAAATCTCACCCTTGTGTCTATTGATATCAAATATATCAACACTCGTTGATAAAAGTGGCAAAAATCCTCGGCAAGCCTCGGAATTCTTGCCCTTTTCTCAACTCGTGTTGATATATTTGATATCAAAAGACACTCGGGTGAGATTCTCTATATATCAACGAGAATGGTTCTATTGCAATGGTTCTATTGCAACTGAGACCTACCTTACGACAATAAAAGCAGTTCATCTCCGTCGAGTCTTAATGACATTTAGATGCAATGTACACTTTTAACATTAGAGCAGCTAGATTTTTAAAACAAAACGAGTGTTGATATAGTTGATATCAAAAGACACGAGGGTGAGATTTTATTTATCATCCAACATCATTCTTCCAACTTTTTCAGTTTGTAGAAAGTAATAAGCAGTGTCTTAGTGTAAAAAGTACTGCTAACAGCTTCAGTAGCAGAGCCATTAGTGATGTTATTTGATTGTGACGTCATGGTAACCAATGACGTCAAAATTGTCTGCAAAACATTGTGATGCAATTTCATTGCAATGATATCTACAGTATAGATATCGCTTGATCTCACCCAAGTGATATCTCCTGTGGGAGCCAGTTTTGGATGATAAAGTCATGTTGTAAACCCGTCCTAAATGTTCTGAAACCACAATGTCAAGGTTGCGTTGTAACTTGTAACAATGTTAATGTGTACATGATGGCCTTTTAGCCTCTTGGCCATATATACAAATAAACTGTCCGTCTGTCAATTCCCGAATGCGTCGGAGCAGTGTCGATGCACTGTGGACGCACTGTCGGTCAACTGTCGACTCATTGTCGATCCTCTGTTGATGCTTGTGTGTAGTGACAATGTATTTCCTTATGGAAATAGTCCTGTGAATTGTGCTAACTGAAATGAAGATAACATTTTGGATCGCTTAGACAAATTGGTCAAACAATATCTTGTAATAATTTCTTTTACAACTGAAAGATTGTGTTTATGTATTTGCAGATAATCTTCAGGGGGACACGCGCCCATTATGGATCAATTGTAGCTATAGCCAATATGACTGAGTGTGAGTATATCATGCGTGTCCTGATGTAACACGCACCACATTGACAGGTTTTGGAATATTAACTGCTGGTTTTGGAATATCAACTGCTAGTTTTGTTTGTTTGTTTATGTGTTTGTTGTTTAACGCCGCACTCAGCAATAATCCAGCAATATGACGGCGGTCTGTAAATAATCGAGTCTGGACCAGACAATCCAGTGATTGACATCATGAGCCTCGATCTACGCAATCGGGAAACCATGACATGCATCGACCAAGTCAATGAGCCTGACCACCCGACCCTGTTAGTCTCCTCTTACAACAAGCACATTATCACCGGGATCTTCACGGGTCGAATATTGACTTTAATATGGACGTATACTGACTGTAAGATTAACTACTGACTGTAGTACTGTCGGCGTTGTCTGTTTCATATTTAGGTATATGCATAAAGATTCAGAGTGACAAAACACTCTCCACAAGACCATATGACAAGGGGAGAGACAATGTGACAACAGTCAATTTTCCCTTTCTGTCGAGCAATATTCCAGCAGTTCAAGCCTTTCATGTCTACAATTCACAATGAAGCATCCTCTTTCTACGAAGAGCGCCATACAACTCTTGCTCCCAAGTTGTTTGATTAAGGTTACAACATTCAAACTTTCATGCTTGTCGTAAAAGGCGACTAACGAGATCGGGTGGTCAGGCTCATTGACTTGATTGATACATGTCATCCATCCCAATTGCGTGGATCCATGCTCATGATGTCGATCACTGGATTGTCTGGTCCAGACTCGATTATTTTACAGACCGCCGTCATATAGCTGGAATACTGCTGAGTGCGGCGTTAAACAACAAACAAACAAAACATTCAAACTTTCAAATAATATTACGGTAGGACATTCCACATTGACGCATCAGTGACAACAATAATGTCTTGAGTGGATTCCCTATTTTGACTTGTGTCTTATGTTCTCACGTTTTTTCAGTTGTTTAATTGACTTGCCTTTGCATGTGTTTGTGACGGGTACCACTTTTTTTACGAACACATGGTATTATCGCTATTTGACAGTGATTCATAAAGACATGATATACATGTGGTCGGAAACGTACAATGGACTCTGCCTTTCAGAAGAGAATACCTTTGATTATGGAAAGGGTGTTGTCGCTTTCATTGAAATGTTTAGAACATAGTTCTGCTATTTGTACGTGGGACATTTCTCATAACTTTGTTGATTGGTTGGTTTTGGAATATCAACTGCTAGTTTTGTTTGTTTGTTTATGTGTTTGTTGTTTAACGCCGCACTGAGCAATATTCCAGCTATATGACGGCGGTCTGTAAATAATCGAGTCTGGACCAGACAATCCAGTGATTCATATCATGAGCATCGATCCACGCAATTGGGATACGATGACATGCATCAACCACGTCAGCGAGCCTGATCATCCGGTCCCGTTAGTCGCCTCTTACGACAAGCATAGTCTCCTTTTACGGCAAGCATGGGTTGCTGAAGACCTATTCTACACGGGCCCACAACTTTATCATAAAATAGTAATACTGACATTGCCATACTGCCATATGAGGAGAGTCTGGAATTATCGAACTCTATCTTTTTTCTGGAAATGATAAATGGGAACTTCAGTATGAACAAACCATCAGTATTACAAAACAATGTGTATTATTTGTACTATTTGTAAAGACCTAAAACCAACATGTATTATTTTCTTAACAGGTTCATCTAAACAAATCACACACAAACCAACAATACACAAACCAGCAACACACAAACTAACAACACACAAACCAATTACACACAGACCAACAACACACAGACCAACAACACACAAACCAACAACACACAAATTAACAACACACAAACCAACAACACACAAACCAATAACACACAAACCAATAACACACAGACCAATAACACACAAACCAACAACACACAAACCAATAACACACAAACCAACAACACACAGACCAACAACATACAAACCAACAACACACAGACCAACAACACACAAACCAACAACACACAAACCAATAACACACAGACCAACAACACACAAACCAACAACATACAGACCAATAACACACAAACCAACAACACACAAACCAATAACACACATACCAACAACACACAGACCAACAACATACAGACCAACAACATACAAACCAACAACACACAAACCAACAACAAACAGACCAACAACACACAGACCAACAACATACAGACCAATAACACACAAACCACAACATACAGACCAACAACATACAGACCAACAACATACAGACCAACAACATACAAACCAATAACACACAAACCAATAACACACAAACCAACAACACACAAACCAAAAACATACAGACCAATAACATACAGACCAACAACACACAGACCAATAACATACAAACCAATAACACACAAACCAATAACACACAAACCAACAACACACAGACCAACAACATACAGACCAATAACACACAAACCAACAACATACAGACCAATAACACACATACCAACAACACACAAACCAACAACACACAAACCAACAACACACAAACCAACAACACACAGACCAACAACATACAAACCAACAACACACAAACCAACAACACACAAACCAACAACACACAAACCAACAACATACAAACCAACAACACACAAACCAATAACACACAAACCAACAACATACAAACCAACAACACACAAACCAACAACACACAAACCAATAACACACAAACCAACAACATACAAACCAACAACACACAAACCAATAACACACAAACCAACAACACACAAACCAACAACACACAAACCAACAACACACAGACCAACAACATACAAACCAACAACACACAAACCAATAACACACAAACCAACAACACACAAACCAATAACACACAAACCAACAACACACAGACCAACAACACACAAACCAACAACACACAAACCAATAACACACAAACCAACAACACACAAACCAATAACACACAAACCAATAACACACATACCAACAACACACAAACCAATAACACACAAACCAACAACACACAAACCAACAACACACAAACCAACAACACACAGACCAACAACACACAAACCAATAACACACAAACCAACAACAGACAGACCAACAACAGACAGACCAACAACACACAAACCAACAACACACAAACCAATAACACACAAACCAACAACACACAAACCAAAAACATACAGACCAATAACATACAGACCAACAACACACAGACCAATAACATACAAACCAATAACACACAAACCAATAACACACAAACCAACAACACACAGACCAACAACATACAGACCAATAACACACAAACCAACAACATACAGACCAATAACACACATACCAACAACACACAAACCAACAACACACAAACCAACAACACACAAACCAACAACACACAGACCAACAACATACAAACCAACAACACACAAACCAACAACACACAAACCAACAACACACAAACCAACAACATACAAACCAACAACACACAAACCAATAACACACAAACCAACAACATACAAACCAACAACACACAAACCAACAACACACAAACCAATAACACACAAACCAACAACATACAAACCAACAACACACAAACCAATAACACACAAACCAACAACACACAAACCAACAACACACAAACCAACAACACACAGACCAACAACATACAAACCAACAACACACAAACCAATAACACACAAACCAACAACACACAAACCAATAACACACAAACCAACAACACACAGACCAACAACACACAAACCAACAACACACAAACCAATAACACACAAACCAACAACACACAAACCAATAACACACAAACCAATAACACACATACCAACAACACACAAACCAATAACACACAAACCAACAACACACAAACCAACAACACACAAACCAACAACACACAGACCAACAACACACAAACCAATAACACACAAACCAACAACAGACAGACCAACAACAGACAGACCAACAACACACAAACCAACAACACACAGACCAACAACACACAGACCAACAACACACAAACCAACAACACACAAACCAACAACACACAAACCAACAACACACAGACCAACAACATACAAACCAACAATACACAAACCAATAACACACAAACCAACAACATACAAACCAACAACACACAAACCAATAACACACAAACCAACAACACACAAACCAACAACACACAAATCAACAACACACAAACCAATAACACACAAACCAATAACACACAGACCAACAACACACAAAATCATGTCAAGTCCCGATTCCAAATCACCAGCCAATACAACAGTAACCCAATTATCACAACAAACATCACACAATATTCTAGCATTAAAAATTCAAAACGAAGAATGCATGGAGTTAAATAAACAGGGCAGTGATTCCCTTCAATCAGAAACTGATATATTTCTACACATCAAACAAAAGGTCCAGATATATTCTTCAGATCTTCAAACCAAACTAACAAACCTTCACACAACACAGACTCTCATTAACACAGACCAGGCCTTGCTGCTAAACGAACAAGACCTGATCTTAGCCACGTCCCAGCGACTCGTCTTAAACGTCGGCGACCCAAGTATCTTCACAGCGCCATCGGTCCTTCTACGTCAGCTGGACTTCATCGGGGACCAGATGAGACTCCTTCAGAACCTGCAGGACACGTTGACGAAGAACAACGCGGAGAAAGTCCTCTTGCAGCAGGAGAAGGTCCTTCTCCACCGACAGCCAGGGCTCTTTCAGCTCGACACCTCGTCTTTGACTCCTGAGGAACAGCTGCTTCATCAGGCCACCGTGCTGCAGCTTCAGGCCTCGCTGCTTCACAACGACGACATCCTCACCCACATCGACCACAACATGACGACTTGTCTCAACCAGGAAATGATAACTATTTTATCACTTAGGGAAAATTTGTTGCACTACCAGAGTAATTTAAGACTACAAGGGTAAATTTTAAAGGCGTACAGGATAGAACTGTTAATGTTTCACGTCCAGTTCCGGGTTCGATTTCCTATACTGAGTTTAGCCCATTTTTGGTGGTGTCCCCCATCCTTTTGTTGCTGGAATGTTGCCAAAAGCGGGGTAAAACAATACTCACCTCTGACCGAAATCCGGTTCATTTATTTAATATATTATTGGAATGATATGTTTCTCTTTGGAGAGCTACTTACTTACACATATAAACCACGTGAAACGCCACTTGACACGTGACTTAAATGAGACATTAAAATTCAACTATTTTGATTAAGTTGAAAGTTTAATTATTATACTACCGATATAAAATAAGGGAACTAGTACTTTGAATGTAGCTATCGTTGAGGTGAACATTTACACTACCGTTGCGTTGAACCTGAATGCAACATATTGTTTGTTTGTTAGCTTGTTGTCTAGCGCCGCACCCCGTAAATTATAGAGTCGTGGCCAGATATTCTGGTGATTGATCGATCTGCGCATTTGGGATATGATGAAATGCATCAAACATGTCTGGCAAGCCTGAGCATCCGGTCCCGTTAGCTGCATTTTACGGCGATATCGATAAGCATAGTCGCCATTTACAGCAAGCATGGGTTGCTGAAGACCTGTTCTGACCCGGATCTTCACGGGTAGAACGCAACATCTAATCACAAACAATCACGAGATTGTGGGCTGTCACCATCCCAAGTTGTCCGATGAAAATATTATTGGCGACGTAGCGGCGAGGCTGTTGTTGGCGACGTAGAGGCGAGGCTGTTGTTGGCGACGTAGCGGCGAGGCGTATACAGGGGCAACAATTCTTGACCATGATCGGTATGGGGCGTGTTGTAGTGGTGTGAGGCGGTATCAAACTTGACAGCCGAACTGATTTGGTTATTGTGAATGGACATTTGACAAACAAGCGACGTGTTGATGGATTTTGTGACCCGTGAAGATTCGGGATAGAATAGGTCTTCAGCAACCCACGCTTGCCGTAAAAGGCGACTATGCTTGTCGTAGGAGGCGACTAACGGGATCGGATGGTCAGGCTCGCTGACTTGATTGATGCATGTCATCGTATCCCAATTGCGTGGATCGATGCTCATGATGTCAATCACTGGATTGTATGGTCCAAACTCGATTATTTACAGACCGCCGTTATATCGCTGGAATATTGCTGAGTGCGGCGTTAAACAATAAACAAACAAACAAATGATGGATTTTGCGTCCTGTCATTGTTCCATTCAGTAGAAGTATTGGCAGAAGTTCTGAACAGCGAGATGACAAAGCCAGACCAGAAGACATAAGTACAATGGACTGGCCCGCTCAGTCCCCTGACATGTTGCATATGAGTATCTGTGGGATGTTCTGGGGTGGAGACTAAACACTACAAACCCAGCTCCCACAAACGTGACCCAGGGGGAATTCTTCAGACGGAATGGCGGGCGATACCAAGGCAACCGTTCTCAAGTTAATCAACAGTATACCATCAAGATGTCGTGCATGTATCGCCCAACATGGTGGACACGCAGGATATTTATCTACACGCCGGAAATTAATTTTACAGACATGTATCGTCTTTTGATGATGTTGTGTTGAATGTACAACATACCGTCAGACACTTATATAGAGATGATGTACAATGCTTTAACAATATACAATAAGCTGCGTTGTAACCACATCATAATCTAACCAGACAAGTATAATTATCACGTGTGTATATATAATTAGCATGGAACCTACTGTGTTTACCATTGAGACAGTTTGGTCCTAATTGTCTCTTCAAGACAGGATTCCGAGTGTTGTCAGCAAAGGAATAACATGTTATCATGTTTATATTAAATGAATTTGCCGCATTCCTGTGATTCTACTATTGATTTCACAATTAAATACTACTATTTGCATATGCCTGTGTGTTTTGACTGTTGAGCTAAAATAAACATATTGTTAGTTTAAGCCATGCCATCCTTTCATAAAAATCGATCTATTGCTTTCCATTTTGTGAAGGAAACGTCAGTCGCAATAGCAAGTTTTACTAATATATTAATAACAAGCATGAAATACTCATATCCCCCGTCAATATGATAATTTCGATTGTGTGAAAGAAAAGAAATATTGTACGGTTTTCAAGATCTGCTCCGGAAACGAGCACTATCGACTTTTAAGTCTAAGTTAAAGTCGTGACTAAGGAAACTCGAAAAATATTTTTTTCAAAAATCCCAAACTATCAAAAGACACCAGTTTACCACTAGACCTATCTGTGTGCCAAGTTTGGTGAAGAAATATTGTACGGTTTTCAAGATCTGCTCCGGAAAGGATCACTACCGTCATGTTCATTCTAAGTCAAAGTCGTTGCAATGGGAACTCGAAAAATATAAAAATCCAGAACTATCAAAAGGTACCAGTTCATTACTTGACCTGTCTAAGTGCCAAGATTGGTCAAGATATCTCTCATGTTTTTTTAGTTTTTTAGTCGAAACGTTACGAACGGAAGAACGGATGGACAGCACCCATTCCCATATCCCCCTCCCACTTCGTGGCCGGGGATAAGAACGCCATTTATAATACGTGACTGTTCCTGGCGCTAGAAACCATTATTACCCTGTCAGTGGTTCAGTTTCTGTCTTCTTCATCTCCTGGAGGGTTCCGGCAGCGTTCGCTCGTCACGCCGAAGACCCGGGTTCGATTCCTGACATGGGTACAATGTGTAAAGCCCACTTCTGGTGTCCCCCGCCGTGATATTGCTGGAATATTGCTAAAAGCGGCGTAAAACCATACTCACTAATACTTTGTACGAAATGGATCCGATTAATATTTCAATATTTAGAAACGAAAAAAGAGTTTCTTCACCTTATGATATGAATAAGTGAGTGAGTGAGTATGGTTTAATGCCGCTTTTAGCAACATTCCAGCAATATCACGGCCGAGGACACCGCAAAATGGGCTTCACACATTGTACTCATGTGGGGAATCGAACCCGTGACGAGCGAACGCTTTAACCACTAGGCTACCCCACCGCCTCTCTTTTGATATGAACCCACGGGGACCCTGCTTTGAAGTAGTAAGAGCTACTTAATTAAATTAGGTGGTCAGCGTCGGTGACTTGGCTGATCCCCGCTCACTGATGTCGTGGGTCTATGTTTAGTCACTGGTCAGGTGTAGGCAGGCATTAAGGAAGTGGAATATTTCATACTTCAACGTCAAACAACATTCACCCACTCTTTAATGACGATGTCATCCATTAGGTATTTCCGTTATTTCACTCATCGGGATATTTAATATGGCATGGGCCAGAGAATAGCCAATCTCCATTATCCGCCGAAACAGATTCCTTTGGGCGTAAAAAACAAAATAGGGGTAAATATTATATGAATGGATCACTGAAAATCAGTGATGACACCAGATGTTCTCGAAAAGGGTAAGCATGTCCTGCCCTGCCGATAACACAATTTTCATTAAATGTAATTATTTGTTACCTAACGCCGCAAATCAGTACTCCTGCAATACGACGGTGGCATGTAAACAAAATACTAGTATATAATCTGGACAACCGATACGGTGAACGATAAAACGTAACAAACTTGTACGCTCAAGACAGATTTTGAGGTGGCAGAGTAATGATGTGGGTAGAAGTCAAATTCGGCACATCGTTCTCTTATGTTCAATACTGACGTCATCTTTCAACACGTCAATGCAAAAGCCGCCGCATACAGCACGTGCAGCAGGCCCTGTCGTTGTCCCCAAGATCGCTAGATATGAGGTGAGGTGAGGTGAAATGGGGTTTAACGTCGCGTCCAAGATTATTGCACTTATATAGCGACGTGCATGTGTTTACGTGGCTGCTTGTACTAGTCCGGACTGATGCCGATTTATAGTGCTAGCTCACCGAGATACCATGCCGCAGTTTAACATGAATACCCCACACAGACACAGTATACTGACTCCGAGCCGACCAGTCCTTGTTTTAGCCCCTTAATGCCGAGCGCCAGACAGGGTGACAACAAGTACCATCTTTTAACGTCTTTTGGTATGACGCGGCCGGGGATCAAACCCCGGACCTTCCGCTCTCCGGGCGGACGCTCTACCACCAGACCACGGAGGCGGTCTCTAGATATGAGGTGATAGCTGGGAGGTGAAATTGGGTTTAAAGTCGCGTCCAAGATTATTGCACTTAAATAGCGACGTGCATGCACGTGTGTGTGTGTGTGGCTGCTTGTACTATTCCGGACTAATGCCGATTTTATAGTACTAGCCAACTGACATACCATGCCGCAGTTTGACAAAAATACCCTGCTCAGACACAATATACTGACTCCAAGCCGACAAGTTATGGTTTTAGCACCTTAATGCCGAGCGCCAAGCAGGGTAACAAGTACCATATTTTAACGTCTTTTGGTATGACGAGGCCGGGTATCGAACCCCGGACCTTCCGCTCCCCGAGCGGACGCTCTACCACAAGACCACGGAGGCGGTCCGTTAGATATGAAAACCATAGAACCCCTACGAGTGTGGCAGCGTCATCCTGAATTACAGGATAATGTCTTGTTGGAAACGTGTCCACTATTGCCCTGTTTGCAACATGTCATCAATCTTTAGGTATAAATGTTACCTTTAACATCTGAAATCTGGTTATGCCTTTTTTTGGCAGTTTCTGTTGATGACGAATTGCCCCCTGGTTTCTTTCTTTGTTTGTTTTTGGGGGTTTTTTTTCGTTTTGTTGTTGTTTTTGGGGGGTTGTTTGATGGTTTTTTTATGGTTTTTGCGCTTGTTTGTTTTTTGTGTTGTTTGTTTTTGTTTTTTATTTGTTTGTTTGTTTGTTTGTGTTTTGGTTTGGTTTTTGTTGTTTTTGTTTGTTTTTTGGGTTGGTGGTTAATAAAAGGTATGCGCCTTTCATACTAGTATACAGGCGGAGCAAATTATAAAGGAGAATCTTTCTTCTGCAGGGGACTCTTTATTGCACAAGGTTTTATATACAAGCATGTTTGTTTTCCATTTCCTTACCATGACATGGAAATATCATCAACACGTTACATTACACCCAATCCAACCCAACACCTCCCACCGCTGTGAGTGTCCAGCTCAGTAATAATACGAGTTTGACGTTATGACGACAACGACGATGACGATGGTCACGGCCACAAGGATACAGCCACAGGCCACAGCCCAGAGAGAATAGCGCTTTGCTTGCGCGGACAGCATGAGGGCAGACGGAAGGTCCCCTCGGTCTGATGCTCGCCGAGCCTGAAAAAATAGGAAAAGACGTTAAGGGGGGTTTTAAGATCTAGATATAGTGAGTTGAAATGAAATATACAAATAATCAGTGAGACATTTCTAATCATTAAGTCATGAAGGGGCTTAAAACTTTCGGGACGAGAAAGCGAAACATGCAGGGCAGCATTTCTGTTTTCTAAATTTCAAAAAACGAACATAAACGGACAGTTCAAAATGCAAACAATAAAGACCGCGCTGTAATCTTCTTGTGGATATTTTGTTCATTTAGCTGTTTCTGAGGGCCGTGGTATCTACCCCGAAAAAAGGGTGTACTATAAACGGAATGTTTGCATTCTTTGAGGGTTCACTTGTGTTAAAATCAAAATTTCCGAATCGATGTGATTCGAGGTGATGAAATGAAGCCGTCTTCTGACTAGGTCAATAATCGAGGCATCCTTTGTTTTGATTGGGTCCACGTGGACGTTCAATGGAGAATGGTCACTCCCCTACCCATGTTACTTTTATCACATCAGAAAGAAGGTTGAACATATTTATGAGCCTTCTGACTGATGTGAGTAAACAAACACAAAATATGAAAGGATGTTCGATATACCCACCTCTTGAGCTCTGAGGATTGCGACAATGCCCAGAGGCCAACAACACAGTACGGTGGCGAGGATTGCGAGTCCCATGTGGTCGGGCACCTGGCTCACGCACCCATGATAGGCCCCTGGCTGGTGGACCTGGAGACACAAAAGATAACACAAGGTAGTGAAACCTCGATAACAC